AGGGCCCTGTGCCACAGGTGTGGGTGCTTTTAGAATAAGCCCACCAGGGGCCAGAGACTCCTGCAGGAGGCAGGAACTCTCTCTCTGAAAGGTGGGAGCTCCCCTCGGGGCCAGCTTCCTGCTCCTGCACCTGCTCTCGCTGCCTGGCCTCCAGCAGCAGCCCCCACACCTGCCCTCGAAGCTGGGAGAGCCTGCTTGTCAGTGCCCGTCACCTTTCAGCAGACAGATGCAGATCAAGGCCGCCACCTCTGAGCCTGCCTGGGCGTTTGCCCCTCTGAGTGTTTCTCACTCTTTTTTTAAAAAATTTATTTAATACTAGAGGCACAGTGCCTGCACCCTCTCCAATCTGGGACCCCTCAGGGGATGTCATATTGATGGATTAGGCCCTGTGGAATCAGGCCTAAACCAGCACTCAGAGATCCCTCTCAAAATCTGGGACTGCTGGCTCTTAACCACTCACGTGCCTGGCTTCAAGAGTGCCCCTAACCAGTCTCCTGCCAACCTGATTGACACATAACTGCTCCCCTGCCAGCTTCTCCCCACCCCAACTGCCCTTCCCTGCAGGCTTCGTTGCCCCCCCAACTGCCCTTCCCTGCGGGCTTGGTTGCCCCCAACTGCCCTCCCCTGCAGGCTTGGTCAACCCCAACTATTCTCCCCTTCCAACCATTTTGTGATGATGTGGGGTGGTCATCTTATGACGACATGGGCCAGCCATCTTGTGACATGAGGGCTTGATGGTCAATTTGCATATTACCTCTTTATTAAATAAGATATTTTAATTGAATTCATAGAGGAAGGGAGGAGGAGAGAGAGAGAAACATCACTGATGAGAGAACATCACTGATGATCAGCTGCCTCCTGACACCCCACACTGGACCGAGCCCACAGCCCAGAGCTGTGCCCTGACCCGAATGAAATGTGACTCCTGGTTCATAGGTCGATGCTCAACCCCTGAGGCCCACCGGCCCTGCCCTTCTCAGTTTTCTCTCTAACGAACGGTGCCGGGAGCATGGCGCCTCCCAGGCCTGACCGTCCACAGCCTCTGGGCGCTGTGGTCCGTCCAGCCACCTGGACCGGAGCATCAGTGCCAGTGTTTACTAACAACACCAACCTGGTCGGGGGCAGCTCCGACAAGCACATAACTCCTTCTTCCCAAGGTGATTATACTTACAATGGCTTCAGTGGGGAGCTCCCTATTTGTTTACCTAAAAGGGGGACTTCAGGATGTTTGCAGCTTGGCCAAGAAAATAAGACGTCCTATGGGGGCGCAGACATTCTTAACATTGCAGGCCCCTGGGATATGGAAAATATATTCAGACAGTTACTAACCTGGGGTTCCCTAAGGCCACCCGATGGCTGTCTGTTCAGAATACCCTGCTCCCCTCCTGCCCTAATAGCACCACTACTGAGCTGGGAGCATATCCTCAATGGCAAGATTGGGCCAACCCTGTACCAGTGAGACATACTATTTCTGGCTCTGACTTGTATGTCTTGGATTGGTCTCACAGGCTTGATGCTAAAAGTCCCTTTCACGAGCCTATGTCACCAGGAGGGTTTGTGGGTGACGCCCTGACCACAGAAACAGGAGGTTTACAGAAAGATCTTTGGCATTTAGCTGCTGCCTTTGTCTTTCTTAATTCACTGGCTCTTCCTTAGCTGATATTAAAGGAACGTGTTCATTGAGCCCTTGCCATGGATTACCAGCCTGTGTCCAGCCTCCGTATGTATTGGTGACTGGAAAGGTGAACATCACCAGATTGGACTCCCATTGTGCAGTCCAATGCCATCACTGTGACCTTACCAGCTGTGTTTCCAGGCAGCACCTGAATGGAGATATAGTAATTTTAAAGCAGCCTTCCTTTATTATGCTTCATACCCACATAACAGGGAAATGGTATCATGATGCATGCCTCCAGGCATTGCAGGAACTGCACAATCAGCTCTCCCAGGAACAGCGTGCTGTGGGCTTATTAGTTCTGGTCTTGTTACCCTCGTTACTGTCATCACAGCTGCTGTGACTGCTTCTCTTGCATTGATCCAAAGCCTCCAGAATGCAAACTTTGTCAATGAATTGGCTCAGAACACCTTGGCTACATTTCACGATCAAGAAGATATAGACAAAAGGCTAGAAACAAAGCTAAATGCTCTGGAAGCTGTAGTGATAGCACTTGGTCATCAATTAGAAAATGTCAAGATGAGACAGCAGCTGCAATGCCTTACTGCTTTCACATATATTTGTGTGACTTCAGCCCTGCTATGACAGTTCTCTATGGGACTGGAGTAAAATCAAGATGCACCTACAGGGAATATGGCATCATAATAATATCAGTATAGACCTCGTACAGCTACAGAAACATGTGCAAGCCATTCTGAATAGTCATGACGAAATTCTATCTCCAGAGAAACTGGCAAAAGATTGCTGGATGATTTAAAAGGACTTAATCCATGGAAAATGTTAAAACACACCATTTGGCACTTAATAGGATTCCTTTATGTACCACTAAATTTACCCTGTTTCTTTTAGTTCGCAGCAATCTCCTGAGATCTCAAGTCCGAAGGCTCCAATTAGATGTCCAAGCTACATTTAAAATATAAAGAAGGCGGAGATGTAGAGAGCACCTGAGAAAGGTCCCTGAGCTGATTGTCATCTGAATCCAGTGGCGCCTGGCTGACCCATGACCTGGGAACATACCTTACCAGAGGCAGGTGTGTTGTCTGTTTGACCTTTAGCTCAGGCACCAGGAACTTGAGTTCCAGCCAGGCACCAGGAACAAACACGATTATCCAGGCCCATCCAGAAGTGACGATTACAAAGAAGCCACAGGAATGCACATATTCTCTCTATCTTAAACATTAGTAAAACTTCCTGGTAACTTCCTGTATAAAATAAACAGGCTGTATCTGCTCTGGGTCCCTGTCTCTCCATCAGAGGGCAGCTGACCCACCCTGTCCCAGCTTTCCCTACTGTCTTTGTTTCTCTCTCTTTCATATTCCCAATCACCCATCACCCCTATTCAGGACTCCTGTCTGCTCTCTAGTTGTGCTGGTCTCATAAAAGAGAAATAATTATAGATTGTCATCTGTGTGCCAGCGGAGCGAGGCGAAGCTTTATTGAGGATGCGTGCAGTGTGCAAGGTCAGGGTCACTCTCACCCTGGCAGGTGGGAGAGGAAGGGCGAGGAGTCGGTTGGGATCTCCAAGCTGGGGGCTCCTGATGGACCAGGGGTGGGCCCGGGGTGAGCTCCACCTTTGAGTGGGGGCCTCGTGTGCCCGTCCTGGGGGGGTGGGACCTGCTCAGAGAGAGATGCTCTGGGCTGCTGGCCGCCCTCCACGGGCCGCACCTTCATCTCGGCCACCTTGACACAGGGCCAGGACCCCTCCCAGATGCTCTACACTGCCCATACCCACTTCGAAGCCCCAGAGAGAAGGGGCCCTCGGTGTTCGGCAGGGGGGGTTGCCGCAGCCTCGTGGGAAGGGGCCGTCTCCCGTGTGTGTTCAGGGATGGTGCATGGTGGGCGCTGAGGGAAGGGCTGGGTGCTGGGCTGAAACCCGACGAGGGCCTCCGTGTTCCCCCAGGTTGGCCTCTGAGATGCCAGTGGCCATGCCCGGAGGAGGTCCGCCCCCCAAACACACTTCCTCTGGCCCTGACGTCGCCTCTCCCGCTGGGACCTTCCTGTCCTCAGAGGCGGCATGTGTGCAGCGGAGGAACGGGCTCCGTCCAGGTGGCCCAGGTCGGAGGTCAGGGCAGGTGAGTTTGTGGTGGGCAGCAGGGCTCTCAGCCTCCAGCAAAGCTCCAGGAATCCGTCATCCAACGCCCCCCAAAAATATGGCTCATCAGCCACTGTGACAAGGACATCGAATTAAAGCTCAAGGTTGCTGAGACGTTGGTGGAGGGCAGGGCTGGCTCCGCGCCCGGAGGGGGCTTCAGGCCCAGGATGAGGACGAGGACGCGGGTCCATCCCCTCCCAGGCCCCTCCTCTTCGGAAAGGCTGGGATGGGGAGGTGATGTTGACCAGCACCACCACACACAGGGCCACAGCACACTACACACTGGTTCTGGCCGAGGCGGTGGTCTGATGCCGCTCGGCACGGCCGTGACCCCAACACCAGCCCCTGCTGTTCCCCGTCTTCTCCCCTCAAGGCTTCACACTGGGTTCTGTTTCTTTTGTTCAGTCCTCACGGGAGGACATTTCCCCATCAATCTTTAGACAGCGGTTCTCAACCTTCTGGCCCTTTAAATACAGTTCCTCATGTTGTGACCCAACCATACAATTATTTTCATTGCTGCTTCATCACTGTCATGTTGCTACTGATATGAATCGTAATGTAAATATCTGATATGCAGGATGGTTTTAGGCGACCCCTGTGAAAGGGTTGTTCGACCGCCAAAGGTGTCACGACCCACAGGTTGAGAACCGCTGCTTTAGAGAGAGAGAGAGAGAGAGAGGGAGCGAGGAAGGGAGGGAAGAGCAGAACAGAGAGAAACATTGATGTGAGAGAGACACATCGATGGGTTGCCTCCTGCACACTCCCCATCAGGACTGAGGATCAAACCTGAGGTACGTGCCCTCGACCTGGAGTCAAACCGTCCACCTGTCGGTCAAATGCTGGTGCTCTAACCACCGGGCTAACCCACCCAGGGCTCCCATGGGATTCCTCACTGATTCGCCACCCCCCTCCCCTGAGCTGGGGGTCAGCACACACGCTCTCCCGGGCTGGCTGGTGCGGGGCTGGGCCTGCGGCCAGACCCTGTGAGTCTGTGCTCTTCCGAGTGGCTCGAGGCTGCAAACCTGCCGGGAGCACAGACCGCTGGCGGGACAGGCGGGAGGCAGCGGGCTGTGTGCCCTGGAGCGGCACTGCCATGCTGGCACACGGGCCCTGCTTAGCCCACCTCGTCTGACGCCACCAAAACCTCCTACAGTGCCAGGGCCTGGGCGGCATGGACAGCCACCCAGGCGTTCACAGGACCAGTGACCGGACGACACAAATATCACGGGAATCGTGTGCTGCGGAGTGAGGCGAAGCTTTATTGAGGACGCGGGCGGTCCGCAAGGTCAGGGTCACCCTCACCCTGGCAGGCGGGAGAGGAAGGCGGGAGTCGGTCGGGGTCTGGAAGCTGAGGGTCCCTGACGGTACAGGGGCGGGCCCGGGGTGAGCTCCGCCTTTGCGGGGGGGCCTCCTGTGCCCGTGCTGGGGGGCTGGGGACCCGCTCAGAGACTCTCCAGGCCGCCAACCACCCTACACGGGCCGCACCTTCATCTCGGCCATCTTGTAGCTGTAGTAGTTTCCCTTCGCTGACCACCAGTAGATGCCGTTCCCAGAGCTCCCGCTCACGAAGTGGCGCCCATTCAGGTCGGACCAGTGGGAGCTGTAGAACCACCAGGCACCCTGGTATTTCTCAGCGTAGTTGGAGGAGGTCCCGTCGTTGTCCTGGTCTTTGGTGGAGAACAGGGAGTTGTTGTGATAGGTCAGGGAGTCACCTGCCAGGGAGAAGCAAGGCCGCTTACACTCAGTGCCAGGAGGTGCCGGCACCAGGTCCGGCCAGAGCTGTCCAGCTGCACGTCTTGCGCTGAAAAGTCCAACGGTGCAGCGCACGCCAGCGAACGCTCGGTCGGCGGATCCCCGGCCTCGGTATCCCCCCTCTGCTCGGTGCCGCCAGCTAACGGGCACTGTGCCCCGTAGAGGGGAGGCCACTGCCCGAGACGTCCAGGTCCCTCGGGCACCATGGGAGGGACGTGCGCCTTGAGCGGTGCTACCCGGGCATCCTGTCCACCTGCACTAATGCGGGCGGTCAGGAGGGAGACGCTCAGGTCCTGCACTTTGTACCCTGTGTCACCCCATCGTCATGGGCGCATCCAGGTGGAGGCTGGTTACCCCAACGTGTGGATGGAGGAACGTGGTGAGGACAAGGCCCCGCACAGGCCCCAGACACAGAGCCAGGACCCCACCCAGACGCTCTCCACTGCCCACCCCCACTGCCAACCTCCCACTCCCCACGCCAACAGATCACTCGCACTGCCCTCCCATATGGCCCACCTCCACTGCCACCACTACTGCCCACCCCCACTGCCCTCCCTCTACTGCCCACCCCTGACTCCCACCACCCATCATGCGGCTGACACTCACCGGCGGTGCCCCCGGCAAAGGCCCCCAGGACCAGCTGGTACTTCTCGGCCTCGCTCCCCACCCTGAACGACTGGTACTTGGCAAAGTAGCGCTTGCCCTGGAAGTCCACCAGGTCCACACGGAGCTCATTGGTGCCTGTGGGGGGCAGGGCCTCAGTCCTGAGAGCAAGGACCCTGAGCTGCCAGGATGTGGGTGACGCTCAGAGGACCTGCACTGGGCACCCAGGACGACCTCGAGGTCCCCCAGAAAGTCCTGGTTGCTGAGAGGTGGGGTCACGTGCTCCCACAGTCCGAACCAAACCTCAGCCCTCCTTCCAGCCTCAGAGAGAAGAGGCCCTAGGCGTTCCCGGGTTGGGGGGGTAACCACAGATTGTAGGAAGTGGCCGTCTCCCGTGTGTGTTCAGGGACGGGGCTCGGTGGGCGGCGAAGGCAGGGCTGGGTGCTGGGCCCGACCCCGACGAGGGCCTCCATGTCCCCCCAGGTTGGCCTCTGAGATGCCAGCGGCCATGACCGGAGGAGGTCTGTACCCCAAACCCACTTCCTTTGGCCCTGACGCCCCCCCTCCCGCTGGGACCTTCCTGTCCTCAGAGGCGGCAGGTGTGGGGCGGAGGAGCGGGCTCCGTCCAGGCGGCCCAGGTCGAAGGTCGGGGTGGTGGGTTTTGGGTCCCCACCCCAAGGCCGAGGCCCGGGCCCTACCATTGGCGGTCAGGGCGTGGATGTGGTCGTTGCCCAGCCAGAACTCGCCCAGCTGGCTGCCAAAGCCCTGCTGGTAGGCGGCCCAGTCAAGGTAGAAGTCCATGGAGCCGTCCACCCTGCGCTGGATCACCTGGGGGAGGGGAGACGGCGCTGCAGACCAACATGGCCCAGCCCACAGCCCGGACCCTGGGCAGGCAGACGGGTACCCACGTGGGACCGAGGAGGACGTGGCAGCTGGGAGAGGGGAGGCCACGGCCCTGAGCCCACACCTGGAGGCACGGGGCTTCCTCGGGCCAGGCCCACGGTCGGGTTCACCCACCCCGTCGGGTTCTCTGCGTCCCCTGGGAAGGGGCAGCTCCGGACACAGGGGCCTGGACAGTGACAAGGGCCCGGAGCGCGGGTCCTCGGGGTGGAGCCTGGTCTGCGAAGCCCGGGCACGGCAGCCTCCCCCCGAGGACCGCATCGCCCTCCCGACGCCGGAACTCACGGTCCAGCCCCCGCCGTCCGTGTGCATGTCGCACAGCACGGTCAGCGGCCGGCAGCCGGGCAGGTAGATGGTGTGCCAGCCGCTCAGGGTGTGGCCCCTGGTGCGCAGCTCCCTGCAGCTCCGAGGTCCTGGGAAGGGAAGCGGCACATGGAGGCCCCCGGGGCGGGAGGGAGGGCGGGACAGTGGGGTCTGCGTGGGCAGGAGGCTCCAGGGCTGGACAGAGACCCCACCAGGGCCACCAGCTGTGACGGACAGGCCCCATGTGCCAGGCCCTCCCTCCAGGGCGCCCCCACCTGTTCCCGGGCACCGGACCTTTGGGGTTCTAATATTTTGGGGGCAAGAGACTAGGACTGTCATTGGGGTCCCTAAGGCTGGAGAGGAGAGCTGGGGCTGAGTACTGTCCCATGTGATTGGCCAGCGGTGAGGCAGGGGGCGAGGCTGAGTGCTGTCGCATGTGATTGGCCAGCGGTGATGCAGGGGCGGGGCTGAGTGCTGTCGCATGTGATTGGCCAGCGGTGAGGCAGGGGCGGGGCTGAGTGCTGTCCCATGTGATTGGCCAGCAGTGAGGCAGGGGCGGGGCCTCTGGGCCTGCAGGCTGATGGGCTGCATGGGGGAGCCCAGGCCAATGCTCCCTGCAGGGAGGGCCTGGCACACCCGCCACCTCGGGCCAAACTGAGCACCGGACCCCGGCTGGTCGCCCACCTGTGTCACATCGCTCAGCTTCCCACGACGCTCCTGGGGGAGAGGAAACACCGTGAGAGGCGGGACGGTCAAGCCCTGGTCCCTCCGCACCAGGAGGACATGGACGCCCTTCTAGATGCTTCCATAGGAGGCTGGTCCCCCAGCAAGGCCCAGCCTGCCCCTGGGGAGGCCCCTGGCTGTGCTCCCGGGAGGCGGAGTCTGAGCCTGAGCTGCCTCCTGGGCCCAGGGCAGCCTCGGGGACACGGGGAGAGCGGGCTGCTCGGTGGGGAGGGCAGCGAAGGGGCGTCTGCACCTCGGACCACAGTGGGGTGAGCCTTTGGGAGGGAGACTGTCTCGGGTCCAGGGAGGGGTCACCAGGGTGTGCACGTCCGGGCCCTTCTCTGACTTCCTGAACTTTGTGCAGGGAACGTGGAGAAGGTTTCTGTGTCATCGACTCTGCACCCGCACGTGGAGCTTGTACATGTGTGAGGGTCACACGCGTGTCATGGGTAGTTCAGGGCCCATGTTCCACATCTGCTCATCGTCTGTGACCACAGCTTGGCTCACAGCCTCTGGCCGACGTTGTGTTTTAATCGTTGTCCAACTTCCTGGAGCCCCAGGCAGAGACCCGGGAGGACAGGGCCGACCCTGCTCAGGGGTCCGAGGCCGGGACGGGAGGGATGGGCTGCACAGGCTCGGGGAGGAGTGTGGTCCCCATCCCGCCCTCCACACCCTCCCGCAGAGGGAAGGGCCTGCTCTCCACCCAGCCCCTGCTCCACACCCTGGGAACCCCCTTGTGTTCAGGGTCCCGGAAGCCACCCCTGGGGAGGGTGGGAGGGCCTCACCTTTCTCTCCACGAGCGCCCTTCTCCCCTCGGTCTCCTGCAGAGAGAGGAGGGTCAGCACAGGCTCGAGGACAGGACAGGCTCATGCCAGACCCCGTCAGCCAGAGGACTCGCCTGTCCCCCACCCCCCTCCTGGGGCTGACAGAGCCCAGGGCGGGGACAGGTCATGGGGCAAGTTAGCCGGGTCTCCTTTCTGTGCCGGGTCAGTGCTGGGCCGGGGTCGGAATCCGCCCTGGGCCCCCTGGGTGCTCTGGACACAGACCCAGACCCAGGCCCTGGGTGAGGGAGCACCCTGTTGGGGGCAGAGTTAGGATTTGGGTTAGCGTTAGGGACAAGGTTAGAGTGAGGGTTAGCAGTGGTTGGCAAACTCATCAGTCAACAGAGCCAGATATCAACAGTACAACCATTGAAATTTCTTTTGAGAGCCAAATTTTTTAAACTTAAACTATATAGGGAGGTACATTGTTATAAACTTAATTAGGGTCCTCCTAAGGCTTAGGAAGAGCCACACTCAAGGGGCCAAAGAGCAGCAGTTTGCCAACCACAGGCGTTAGGGAATATGGGTAAGTTTGGGGATAAGGATAAGGATAGGGTTAGGGTTAGGTTTAGGGATAAAGACAGTGTTGGGTTTAGTGTTAGGATTAGGGTTAGGGTGATGTTTAGCGAAAGAGATAAGGATAGAGTTTGGGTTAGGGGTAAGGTTATGATTAGGGTTAAGGATAAGAATAGAGTTAGGGTTAGGGTTAGGAATTTAGAATAGGATTAGCTTTTGGGATGAGGATAGAGTTAGGGTTAGGTATAAGGATAGGGTTAGGGTTATGGTTATTGATAAGGATAGAGTTAGGGTTAGGGTTTGGGATTAGTATAGGTTAGGTATAAGGATAAGGTTAGGTTTAGGGATAGGCCTATGTTCGTATTAGGGTTATGGTCCAGGATAAGGATAAGTATGGATATTTTAGGTTAGGATAAAGTTAGGGTTAGAGTTAG